TGAAAACCCCTATCTTATGCATCCTTGGTATTACTGGTATGTGACTAGTATATTGCTCAACATCAAGACTATTCAAATCTTATTTTCTAGGGTCGTGATGACTTAAGACAAGATGCTGTTATGCAGCAGATGTTTGGATTGGTGAATAAATTACTGCAGAAAGAACCAGAGACAAGAAAGCGGAAACTAACTGTTCGGAAATATAAGGTAAGATTTTTTAATTTGTGTGATGATATTTGTGTATTTAATGACAACATTTGAGTATTTAATGTCAACAGTTGAGTAATTAATGGCAACACTTGGGTATTTAATGGCAACACTTGGGTATTTAATGGCAACACTTGGGTATTTAATGGCAACACTTGGGTATTTAATGACAACATTTGTGTATTTAATGACAACAGCTAGGTATTTAATGGCAACATTTGGCGTATGTGAAGTCAACATTTGGGTATTTAATGACAACATTCTGGTATGTAATGACAACATTTGGCTATGTGATGACAACTTTTGGGTATGTGAAGTCAACATTTGGTTTAGTGATGTCAATATTTGGGTATATTTAATGGCAACATTTGGGTATTTAATGTCAACAGTTAGGTATTTAATGGCAACATTTGGCGTATGTGAAGTCAACATTTGTTTTAGTGATGTTAATATTTGGGTATATTTAATGTCAACAGTTAGGTATTTAAGGTAGCGAGAAGGGAAATTTTCACTTTTTTCTTGATTTTTCAAAAATTTATAAAACGGTTACTTCAGACCTTGATACATCATCCCAGGTTTACAAAAAATCGAAATTGCGAAATAACGTTGCTTACCGGTAATATTAGTGTTTTAAAACGCTAGCAGAAAAGACTACAACTGCCGTTTCGTGGATATTTGCATAATGTTTATCTTTGGAACGGTTTAAATGATAACATCTTATCTGTATACTCTGTTGTTGACGATTCTGATATAACAAGTGATAAGCTTCCCGTCGCAAACAATGCGTGTTTATCTAACGTCCATTGTCAGCATTATTGTCAGTTGAGACTTCGTCGGAGAGACATGGTCATACAGTCTGGGCATACAGTACTCATTTCACCCAACCTTCCGCTTTTACATCGAATGCTTATTTTGTCCGACCGGAAACCGTTCGCATTTTAATCGCGTTTTTTTTTTCGCTCGCTCGTTCATTGAAACACCGACCGCTCGCCCAAACACTGATCACTGGCACATGAGTGGTCGAAATGGTGGTTTTGATAGTAAAGTGTAAACATACAACTAGTATTAACTATTATTAAATTCTGAACGACACTTCAAATCTAATAGTTGTATGACACTTGTATCGTGAAAGCAACTGAACTGGGACCTCTTGTTACGTGTTTTGGGTGCTTGTTCTAGATGTAATATTTTAAATTATTTTAATGAGACAGTTACGTGAAAAAAGCATAGGTAACTCATTTTGACAGATCAGAGAAACGAGGAAATGTTAATGATTAATTTCAAAAACAACGATACCACTGAATCCACGTCGGTCGGTCTGGTGAAATTTGACATTCAATTCTCAAAAATAAGTCACGATCATTGAATGAGTACCGTAAAACTGTTTCCATAAAAAATATTTTCGACTAAAAACGGCTACGTGCCTTGAAAAAATCGAACAGAGCTTGACATGTATGAATAATTTATTGTGCTTAAAAAAACATGTCAAATTTAGTTATAGCCATAAATATTTGGTGGCCAGTCGATGAACAATTCGAAACTCGGGATTTACACGGAAGTCCTCCAAGGCTGAAAATCATCGACCCTACTCTGGTTTACTTTATTTCCCAACTTGCAGAGAAACTGATTCGCCGTGGATTCTAATGTATCTCAGCCTAGTATTTTCTACTTGAACTGAGGTAAAATTCTATCCGTTTGTCAAAATATACCGATGTTTTTCAGCTCATAATTTTGAAGCCGGAAATTGGATGGTACGACGACCCTTCACTTAGCGTCAAATATGCTTTGTTACAACATCATTGATTGGCTGAAAGTCACATGATCGGAGCACGACCTGGGTCACAGAACCATATTTGTGTGTATTATCAACAGGACCTCGCAAAAAAACCACACCTACATTTTTCAATCTTTTTAGCGCGGAAGTTGCCAACAAATGTCAAAAAACTCGTGAATTTCATGGATTCGAATAAAATAACGCAAGTGATTGATAAGAATGATTATTAATATTTTCCCCGATGCTCTTCGAATTTGTATTTTTTTTTTATTTC